TGTGTGGTGAGTAGATGCACATTTCCAGCATTATGCATGAAGTAAAAGGATACAAATGTGTCACTGGGCTGCTTCTTCCTCAAGGCTATGAACCGCTCCCTGCCAAACGTGATCCTGGGCGGGTACGGCACCACCTCAACATTGGGTGGTAAGCCCATGGAGATTGTTGGCACTCACACCGAGGTCAATGTGGACCAAACCATTGACATAATCAAAGAAGCCAACAACATCATCATTACTCCAGGTACACACTGTTTTACAGATGTCTCGAATGTAATTTTCAGCTTTGTCATTGGTAACTTTTTCTAACCAACCAATCTGTGAAACTGATCTTTTATCAGTTTGTTTCGTTTAATGTAGGTACCTATATTACCACAATAGTACCCCACTTGTAAGTGACTGTATTTAGTTATTAGGTTGCACTATCTAGTTTGATTAGCAGTGTATCCGACCATCCAAAAGCAATGGACAGTGCACAAGAGAGGTGAAGAAAAGGGTTCAGGCAGGGTGGAGCAGGTGGAGATTTAGGATAGTGGAAAGACTGAGATGATTTTTGACAGAAAGATAGCAGCAGGAGTGAAAGGAAAGGTTTACAAGATGGTAGAGGGACCTGCTGTAATGTATGGTTTGGAGACTAGGAAATAGGAAGCGTAAATGGAGTTGGCAGAGCTGAAGATGCTAAGATTTTCATTTGGGTACATCAGAGGAACAGAGCAGGCTGATCAGCTTGGAAACAAAGTTGGAGACGCAAAGCTGATATAGTTCAGAGATGGGCAAAAGAGGAATGGTGGATATATTGGACAAAGGATGTTGAAGATGGAGCTACCGGGCAAGAGGAAAAGAGAAAGACCACAGAGAAGATTCATGGATGTAGTGAAGGACATGCAGAGGGTGGGTGTGACAGACAAGGATGCTGGGGAGGGGTGAGATAGAGGCAGATGAATTGCTGTGGCGACCACTAAAGGGAGACGCCGAAAGGAGAAGAGAGAGGGAGAGCGAGAGCGAGAGAAGAAGAATCCTGTGTCGTCATGTTGGATCAAGTGAATGAAGACCCTATTCATAAAAGCCTAGAGGTTAGACAGTGACTTTCTGGCATCTACAGGCTGATAGGGAAAATGTGCTGTTTTATTTTTGTTTGTTTCCCCCCAACCTGCTGGTGATAACCTTGCGCTGCTCTTATATTTAATGGTGGCAAAATATGGTTGACCACAGCAATCTAGTGACCAAAGCTATTCTAAGGAGGTTTTTGGTGTAACACCCTGTTTGATTGGGGAGGGATTCCAGGTTGCAGCGAATGAAGATACATCATTTCTTTTAATTTTTTTTTAAAATGACGAGTCATTGGGCCATGTCCAATATGGAGAACAACTTGAGCATAATGCACTAAGAAAATGCATAATAAACGTCTACTGTGTATACTATGTAACATGCAGGTAAAATAATGCAATCTTACTCACTGAACTGGATCTTGGATTTTATTTAATTTTTTTTAATTGGCTGTCTCAGAGCGTGCCATATTATTTATCAGATAAGCATTACAAATGCAGGGCTAAAGGAAGGATGTCAAACTCATTTTACATTGTGCCACGTACAGCCTACTTTGACCTTAAGTGGGCTGGACTGGTCGAAATCCCCTTTGTTTATTTAAGAGACTGATAATGTCCTTTTAAAAAAAGATTGTAAAGCATAAAAACGGGAAGTTTCTGTGATCTGCTTATCTATTAATTTACTTTGGTATAATCGATGTGGAAGGTCTTTATTAGTAGGAAAAGCTGTAAGTCTTTTCCATAGCTGATTCGGTGGGCTAGCTTGGATTCTTTGGCTGGCCAGTTCTGGCTCCCTGGGTCTCACGTTTGAAGGGTTTCCAGCAAAATGAATTAGCTGAGGTGAAGGCCAGCAGACAGATATATAGCCACCTGTAATGGCATCTATGTGTTAATGAAGCCATGTCTTTAAGCTCAAAGATTGAATTTAAAAAGATGAGTTAAAATGGAGACAAAGTGTTTTGGTATGTCTATTTCTTTGTGTTAGCTTCAAATGGCCATTTAAGAAACTGTTTTTGGCACTCCAACATTGGTTTCAGGTGTGTTGTGTTATCAGTTGTTAATTAAGTCTTAAGCAGACATGAAGAGCAGGTAGCAAGTTAGATAACACTGTGCTTCATCCAAAGTTTCCTCATTTTTGAAGTCCTTAGCTATAAGTTGTTTCATCTGGGGAATTTTTTTTTTTTTTTAGTGCTGCACAAAAAATTATGTAAACTGATATAAACTGTTAGAATTTGGGCTAAAGCCAGCTTGCAATCAGTGCATTGGAAGAATGCTCCACCATGATTTATATTTTTCTTCAAAGGTCCGCTACTTTTGTCATTTGCCACTTTGTCTGTAAGCAAATTTTGGTGGAAGCTTTAAATCTTCTACATAAGTAGAAAAACTTTTTTTCCCCCAGTTGTGGGTGGAGACGGTGCTGGAAACAGATGGAGCCCTTTAGAGACGGGTGTAGACAGGTGTAGAAAGAAACTTGGACTAACATAAGAGATTTATATTGGTGCTCCTGTCAGTAGATGGCGTGGAGTCCAAATGTCATTTTTCAGATCATTAGTTTAGATCAGTACCATCATCTATCTCCCACATAACTGCTTTCACCTGACCAAAAAAACCAAGCAAAAAAAGTTGCTCTGTGAGATCAAAAACAGCTCTGGGAAAGCCCAAATGTTTTGCAGAGTACTTGGAAATGGTCAGGCATCTGATGGTAGCGTTTTCATTAAACTCAGAATGCTGAACTGTAGTGACCACAAGAGGGAGTAGTTTGTTCACAAACTGTCCACGGGGCCTAAATAATGGTGGTTTGGATTTCAGAGTGTGAGATAATGCCCACATCATGATTTATTAAGCAGAAAAGCCAGACTTGTCTGACAAATGAGTAGCTGTTGAACGGCCTGTGCGAGAGGAACCACTCCGTGTAGCTTGGATACCAGGATTGCTGTTTTTTTTCCAATGGCTCCGAATTGGTGCAGAGACAGCTGTGTGGTCGAACATGCTGGTTTGATTAGAGAAACAGTGAAAAATCATAAGGGCTATTCGGTCCAGACTCTCCATGTGCTGTCAACAACAAAGCACGGCAGTGAGGAAACAGAAGGCTCCGGCTGTTTGGGGAATTATAGAAGATACAGGATACAAGTCACTGGCTTGGAAAAACTCGATTAGGGGTAATGCTGAACTCTAGAAGGTACCTGACCACCAGGGTTAAGCAGGGGTTATGCAGACAGAGGGTAACTAGCTCTTTGCACGCAGGGGACCCCAATGCACACCACACATGCAAAAGTTTTCCTTAGAAAAATGTCTCTCAGACTTTTGGCTGCTATGATTTAACACAGAGAGGAGTCTTGTGGTGGTGGAGGACAAAAGAAGGAATGAAGGGTGATGAATATGTGGCTTTACTGTTGTCCTGCAGGACTGCTGTGCCTGTCATTTAGAAATGAACAATAGCTGTGAAATGCTTATCTATGACCAGGCACCCATCCAATAAAAGAAAAGCTGTTTGACAGGAGACTCAAGCAACCTAAAGGGATTATGGAGTATGTAGATAAGATATAACCATTATATTCCTACTAAGGCCAATTTGCTCAGCTATTGCAAGTTTCTATATTTATGTTGTTAGGTTGGGGTCTGTGTGCGGCCAAAGCCCAGTATCCTATTGCAGATATGGTGAAGATGCTGAAGGAACAAGGCAAGACTGTGAGGTTAGTTTGTACACACGTGTGTGTATATACACACACAAGGCAGGACATTCTTTTATCAGTGTGTGTGTGTGTGTGACAAGTTTTCAGTGAAAAATCAGTGATGTGCTGTAACATCTCCAACAGGTTTGGCATCCACCCAGTGGCCGGTCGTATGCCCGGCCAGCTGAACGTACTCTTGGCCGAGGCTGGCGTTCCCTATGACGTGGTCCTGGAGATGGATGAGATCAATGACGACTTCCCAGGCAAGCTCCGTTTTTAAAAATAAATTCTAGAAAGATCTGTTATATTTACCGTTACACGTCACTTTGGCAGGGAGGTGTTGGATTAAATTACTCGATTGGTGATTTTTAATAAACGCATCCGTTCCTTTTCATCTGCTCTTGAAGTGGCCACATGTTATGTCTGGATACTTGGATGTGCCAAGTTATTAGGACAACACTCATTGTTTTCTTAGCAACCAGGCACGCAGGCTGACACACATGGTTCTGTTTATGGTGGAGGGAGATTAGTGCAGCGCCGGAGTTTGAGTTCATCCGCCTTGTGCGTAAACGTGTAAATGTTTATGACCCACAGAGACAGACTTGACGCTGGTCATCGGTGCCAATGACACGGTGAATTCGGCGGCGCAAGAAGATCCCAACTCTATAATTGCTGGCATGCCGGTCCTGGAGGTGTGGAAGTCCAAACAGGTTGGTCTGCCTTTATTAGATGAAATGTGTTTGAGGATATAGTACCAAAATAAGAAAAATCTAATCATATACCACCTTCTTTTCTTACTATTACCACCAGGTGATAGTGATGAAGCGTACTTTGGGTGTGGGCTACGCTGCAGTAGATAACCCCATTTTCTACAAGCCCAACACATCTATGTTGCTGGGAGATGCCAAGAAAACTTGTGACAGTCTGCAAGCAAAGATCCGAGAGACCTTCTACTAATTACAACTCATTACTGCCGTGTACAATTGTTAAGAACTTAAAAGTTATTAAAATTTTTGGCATGTGAGATACCTATTTTACAAAAACAAGTTTATTGGGTCTGCAACAAATGTGATTACAGCAGAACACAAACATCATTGTGCACTAATTTGTAAATTAAAATGTTTAAATGTATCAGAAATTCCTTTCTTTGTACTACTACGGTCACACTGTCCATTCATGCATAAGAAAATGTCATTCGAGTTCAAAAACTAAAAATTATTTTTCTGCATAATCAGAATCTATTAACATAAAACGCTTCAGCTACAGTGTTTGATGTCTTTTAGTCTGTCCTCTTCAGCATTTTCCAGCAGAGGTTTTGGCTTTGTTAACAATTGAGTGCAGGTAGGAGTAGAAGAAGAGAAGGTTGTCGTATTCTCCGCTGTACTCCTCGTCGAGGCAATGCTCGTGGAAGTCCATGAGAAAATAATATATGGCTTCGATAGTAGCTAGATAAGTGTCCGGCTTGCCCTTTTGATGACGCCAGAAACACGTTTTTCTCATCTTCAACTCTACCTGGAGCAAATCTGGGGGAGAAACACGTCAGTCACAACATCGTGAGATCATGGTAAATTCAATTGTGAGTGAATAATCACCAGCAGTCTCGAGTTCTTTGGAAACCCACTCAAATGCAATCTTTCATGATTACCTTGCAGTCTCTCGTCTGTGCTGATCTTATTGGTCTGGTTCCATGTGCTGTCAATGAAGACCACCCTGTGTAGGGGATCCACCTTTGACACTGAGCTTTTTGCTTCATCTGGCGTCCCCGACTCTGAGCTCTCAGACGTGCGTGTGGAACCTTGAACTTGCTCAGTTTTTAACCTCTTTCTGCACGGTTCATCAGCGGAGTCGTGTGACCTGTCATGTAAACACTTCATCATGTCTTGAACTGAGACGGCCCTCGGACCAGGGAATACCAACACCACCTGGAGCGAGCGAAGACGGAGAGGAACGCCATCATGCAAACTGTGCTGGGGCATAAAATGTGTCTCGAACACGTGTTTTTACAGTGGGGTGGTTTATAAAAGGCTAAATTTAGGAAGCAGAGAACAGGATGTAAACTGTTTGACAGGTGAGGGATAAAGTTGAAGAAGTGAAAACACTAAATCAATTGATTTAAATAAATGAGAAGACAAGAAAAACAATACAAATGTATGGCTTGTGGACTAAACTCATTCAGCTGAAATAACAATCTGATTGCATAAGTGCTGTGAGCTTTGAACTGAAGAATGGAGCTGCAGCAAATAAATCTAAATCTTTTAGAAATGTTTCACTGGTTGTTTGCAGACTGGGTAAAAATCTAAGATTTTTATGCTGAAAATAAACAACGGTACAAAATGCAAAAGATAAGCATTTACAATTTGACTTTAGTGGAGAGCAACAGTTTCAGAACATACGCTTAAATTAGATTTCTGCACTAAAATGAATACAGTTAATTCAACATAGTATCGAGAATTATTGTAAGCAACAATATAAAGAAAAAGACTAATAGATGCCAAAGAAAATGCTAAGTCAGTGATATCAGACATTGGTTCAAAACTAGCAAAAGCCGCTGCATAATAAATACTCAACTACTTCCATTGGTTTTAGTGTAAAGTAAATTCTGAAAGGGAACCATCAGTTTACAAAAGGGGAGTGGCTTAACAAACCAAAAAAACAAAACAAACATTCCTCTTAATAAAATGGTCAGGTATAAAGACTGGACTAAAAACAATGAGTGAAAAAGCAGCCAAAATCCAAAGACAAACTTTGATAGACCTTCAGAAAGCCTGAAGAACTATTGCTCAATAACAAAAAAATTGCTTTCGTCTTGGAAGAAAAAATGGTGAGTGACTCAAGACTGTTGTATAGTGAGCTCAGTGAAACACACGGGCGCAGCTCCTTTGCGCAATCACCTTTCCTCAGTTTGCTATGGTGTGCTTGTGTAATGTTTTTGTCACTGAGAAAGTTTTTAAACTTACAATGATTCCGACCACTGGATCGGATGAAAATAACAGTTCGCACGATCCCTTTTAGTTCTCGAAGCTTTTAAGTCTTTTTGGTACTAAATACACAGAAAAGTCCAAAAACTACATATGCCGCCCCGCTCTTTATATTATACACTCCAACAAGCCATCCAGCAGGCCTGATGGGATCTTTTGAAGCGCTGTTCTGGCCTGTAGGCCATATGTTTGACACTCATGGATTAGTAGATGAGAGAAAATCACTTTTGATGATCAATTTAACCTCTGTTTCCAAACAAAACATGCCACATGCTTTTCTGTGTTGTGTCATAGAAAACTGAATATGCTATTTGACTGAGTAGTGAAAACAAGACAAGTGAAGATACAAAAAAGTTTTCTGGGAAGTAATTTCCAGATGAATCAATCATAAACGTAATTGTTAGCTGAAGCCACATAAGGTACAAGGCAGACAGCATGTTTTACAGTTAAATAAACTCCATTCTTTCTTTTAGGATAAAAAACACAACTACAAGGATAAAAAAGAACTAACCTTGTCTTTTTGGTATTCAGGTATGCAGGGGTAAGTATATATTGTGATGTCACTGGGTGCGAGAATCTTGGCGTGGATGGCAGTGCTCTTGCCATCTGTCTCGTTGGGATGCTTGATGATGTCTATCTTCACAGGAAGCTGAGTGTAACACACAGTGTGTAAAGTCAGGTCGAGGGGAGAGTTGGATTTCAGCAACATCATGCCAAAATATTTAACGTTAAATAATTTTAAAAAAAGGCATTTTGCAACCAATTAAGACAATGGTGAAGGCCTCTGTTAAAAGACAAAGCAGGTGAGTCCTAACCTCCTACAAACCTTCACTGTGGGGACATCTTGCAGGCTCATGCCCACTAAGGAGCAGCATGTGTAGCAGAAGAACATCCTCGAGCCTCCACATTTAGAGCACTTTAACCTGCCCCTTTGCTGTGCTTCCTCTAGCACTGCATGTGATGCCAATTTGAGCCCCTGGAGCTGCTGACTGGGAAGCTCACGGGAGTCGGATGAATCAGAGGCCAGTGTTTTTTCCCGGCAACTGGGATGATGACGCTGGTCCTGATCCAGGCCGCTCATTTTTGCTCTGTTGACAGACTTGTCTTGGAGCACAAGTACACTCATAGCTGATGAAGAATAACAGAGCAAATAATGCCAATATTAGCAGACATAAATAATCTAACATTTACAAAGACTTAAACTCAAAGGACACAATAACATGGAAAAAGCTAGTTATAGAGCTAAGAGTTCATTAAAATTGTGCGTGACTGGTAATGATTAGATTGGAAAATTTGTTGCTGTGATAGTACGGTGCAGCTTGAATGCTTTTCATCTAAAAAATTTCATAAAACAGAGCATTGTAACTCTTGGAATGAGTAAATCTTTTAAAAATAATGTTTCATTTAACTATTTTATTGTAGCGTCTTATGATTTTACATTGGCCAGATTAGAAGCTAGTATAAATTAATACGAGTGGCAAGATCATCATGTTAGTTCTGCAGTTCTGGTAACTGAATAAGATCACATTATATGACATTACCCATTTCTGGTTCAAATATGAACACGTCAAATTCCCAAACATCACATTGTGAGCACAGTCACTGAGATAGAAGTTCTTAGAAAACAGAAAACCATAAATCTTGTTAATGGAAATATCTAATTAGTCAATCACATAGCAGTAACATAATCCATTTAGGATAGTAGACATGGTTCCAGAGGACATGAAGAGAAGATGAGATGAAGTTCAAAGCAAGCATCAGAAAGAAGGAGAAACCCATGGCTGTTGATGCCAGATGGGCTAATCTGAGCTACTGGGGTTTAAAGACAATAGGAAGAAAAGTGTCAGTTCTGTAGGTGAAAATGTCTTGTTGCTGCCAGAGGTGAGAGGAGAATGGCCAGATTGCATCAATCTGATCGCAAGGCAAGAGTAATTCATTAACCACTCGTTACAACCAAGGAATGCAGAGAGCATCTCTGAAGAAACATGTTGATGACTACAGTAGCAAAGGACCACATCAGGTGCTGCTCCTGTCTGCTAAGAACAGGAGACTGAGGCAACAACTGGTAAAATTGAAGACTGGAAAAATGTTGCATGGTCTGAGTCTCAATTTTCAAATGGTAGGATCACAATTTGGCAAAAACAGCATGAGAGCATGGATCCATCATGCATTGTATTAACAGTACTGGTATTGGTGTAATGGTGTGGGGAAGATATTCTTGGCAAACTGGCTAATCTGTAGCGACTGTGAATCAAAAGTTTACATCACCTTGATGAATCGATGACACGTAGAATTAACGCACCTCTGAAGATTAAACTAGCAGGGTGTGCCTAATCAAGGGGCCAGTGATTGTATGTACATACTGTTGAATTTCTGATAAACATGGGGGATCGTAAGCATCAGCTAATGGGGAAACGCTGGTGTCCGAGTGTAGCGCGTTTGCTAAATACAGATTAGTAATTAGCACATGGATAAACAACATGAAACGTTGCTCTCTTTAACCTCTCTCTAGCGCAGTGAGATGTGATAGAGCAGAAACCGTACACCTGCAGCTTGCAGTTACTTTTCTTTGAAACCACAGACAGTATAAAAGAGTCAGTATTTTACACTGCCCATGCTTCAACATAGTGGAGCTAGCTTCTGTTAGCAAGCGTCACGTTTCCTCAGCCCCCGCTGCTAGCGTTAACAGACACAAGTCAAAAAGTCTAGTTAAGAGGAGCGAAGATCAAATGAAGACGGATGCACTGTTGTGCACTGTTAGCTCAACTGGGTTCACTAGCTTAGCTACAAAAAGAAGTCCCATTATAAAAGTGCCTACCAATGAAGTGCACAACGGCATGAGCGTCTTCTTCTACGCCGGAAGCACAGCTCCGTGTGAAGGAAATGCTGGGTAGTTACCTGTCGCTAAGCAACGAATGTGCTACTCGGTGCCCTTTGGGGGTGTTATGGCAGGCGATTTATAAATATATATTTATAGATGGTTAATTTTCAAAATGTATCACAGTAAAGTGAATAAAAGAGTGTGGGTTAGTCCAGTAAAATAAAATTACGAAGTTAGATTTAAGTTACTCATACTAGCAGCCAATGAACGTCAACTCTCGCTCTTATGTATTTCGGTAAACGTTAGAAAGAAAAATTTTTTTTTTCTTAAAATAAAACACAGTTTATGATCATGTAAACCTCTAGATTTTAAATGTACAAGTTAAATTACAAGTTTAATATTAGACACACAGTGTATTGTGATGCTTTTTGTTGCATTTAAAAATACAACATTTTAGGCAATTTAAAAAGAGTTGTGCATAGTTCTCAAAAATATTTAAAATAATATATTAAAAATAACCTTAAAGAAAAATCCTTAGAGACTCTGCTTATTCATATGAATCTGGTCCGTGGCAATAATTACAAATTCCAGAAAGCACACATTTTGCTTGGAGCAAAAAGTAATTTGCTACCAGGAAATATTCAAAGTATGTTTTCTGTAGAGAACATAGCTGTAATTTAAGGGGTTTTAGCAACTTCAAAACTATATTAATGTGTGTACTACCAGAAAATGTTTTAGTGTTTACGAGTCAAAATCTGGAACAGGTTGAGTGTGGAAGCAATTCAAAAACAGAAATAAAGGTAGAGATTTTCCTGATATAGAAAAAGATATTTGGCTTTTAGTATATATCTGTATATCTCTATTTGTAAACACACAATAATATGGTAATATTTTGGTAAATGGATTGGATCTTTGTAGCACTTTTCAGCTCTATCTGAGCACTCAAAGGACTTTATCCAGCTTGCCTCATTCACCCTTTCATACAAGTACTATTTGTATACATATGCGGTTTCTATCTAATATTTACACATGCTCATACTGAGATTATTTCATCAGAGATGAACTTGGAGTTAGTATCACACCCAAGGGTATTTGGCATGCAAACTGGAGAAGGCAGGAATTGAACCACCAACCTTCTGATAATTAGATGACCTGCCTGACATCCTGAACTACAACTACAGCCGCCTGACCCTTGCATAGTGTACATATTCTGTGTAACAAAAATAGCAACAACAATAATTTATTATAGTTGTTGATGTTAACACAGAAGCTTAATAAATAACTGATGAATTATGATATAAGGAATTGCACAAGTTTTGCCCCTGTACACCACCCTTTAAAACCAAATAATCAAGCTGTGATTGTGCAGGCTGCCAGCTTCAGTTCAAGGGGTTTGACTAAAACCTTTGTATTAACTGTAAAAATTACAGACTTTTTATACACCACCTACTCTCCATTTTCACAGTCTCAAAAGTTTGGACAGCAGAATGATAAGCTGTTTAGAAGCCGCATCCCTCCTCCTTTCATGGCAGTTTACACAGACTGCCCAAACTGCCCTTTCATGGCAGTTTGGGATTGAAGTTGCTTTTAGTAGTTTTTAACTGGAACTCTCAATATGACGTCAAATTAATGTTTATGAAAGCGATGGTGGCTAAATATCTAAAAAAGCAAAGTTTAGGAGTGGCCAAATCAACAATCTGGTGCATTCTTAAAAAGAAGAAATGCACCAAAGAATGCAGAATTCTTTCCTTGGTTAAGAAAAACTCTGTCACAACATCTAACTGAATGAAGACTACTTGGGGAGCTAGGTGTTTCTAGGTGTATAGGCCTACAGATAAGACAGGTTTTCATTAATGTAAATACAGATGATTTACAACTAGGTGCAAACCACTAATTAACCTCAAGGACATGAAGGCCAGATTCGATTTTGCAAGAAGACTGTCATGGTCCTGAGTCTTTGACCCAGGTTTTTGAGTTTGTTTAGGCTTGCTGTTCTTTCTTTGGGAATATTGAGATTTTAATATTCAGTTTTGATAGTCTCTGAGTTTTGTTACTTGTATGTCTAGTTTTTGGTTCTTGTTTAATTTCATTCTCTTTCGTGTCTGTCTTAGTCTCACCTCTGTGTGTCCTTCCCAGTGTCCCCAGTGTGTAGTCGATGAAGTCTGTTTATGAATGTCAAGTTCGATCTCTGTCCTTCGCTCTCTCTTTGTCTTTCGCTCTGTCTCGCTCCCTCTACCATGACCGCAACATCTAAAAGAGCCGGCGCAGTTCTGGGAAAAATCTTTGGACAGATGAAACCAAGATGAACTTTTATTAGTTATCATCATGATGGGATGAAAAAAGAATGGAGAGGGAGGGAAATAGCTCATGATCCAAAGCATACCACATCATCTGTCTTTCCTAGATAGATCGACTGAAAGATTGATAGACAGAATTACCTTCATGCTTATGATGAGTGGATGTAAACTTAGGACTGCACATTTATTTAGGGGATTAATTAGAAATATTTCCCAGCACAGTGATGATTTTTGCATTTTAGTAGTTTGTTTTGTTTGGTGGTGTTGTTGTAGGGCACAATAGTTTGAAAACCAGTGGCGCTTTTTACTTCAGTTACATGGTACTAACCCAGTGAATTACTCCTTGGTATGTCAAATACTAATTTATATTGTAATCACTGTGTGGTCTCATTTGGCACCGATTTAATTTACTTCTCAGTAAAAGTGTGATGCTGCAGCGAGTTGCTGGAGGTCCTGATCTTGTTTCATAATAATCTGGTGGTCTGGGGATTCCGTGCAAAGAGCTGCAAATACAGAATTCCCCAGGTTGCATAACAACAGATTTCCTCCAGGGAAACAAAGTTTTACAGCCCTGAGATGTATCAAGTTCAACTGAGTGTTCCCTCTCCCCCTCCTTCAGGGCCTCCCCTTTCTCCCGCAGCCCCAAGTCCACTGCTTCACTTTGTACGAGACTCTCTAATGTCTCTCCCTGTTACTCTTCACTCAAATTAGTAACTTTCCCCCTATTCTTCTTTTCCCTATTGCACTGTTCAAAGCGAGTGTCAGACACTGCAATTGTCTGCATATGGTGCTTGTAATGTGGTGCACATGTTGCTTTCTGTGCATTCACTTTCACAATGATGCTGCTGACTTGAACAACAGTAATTACAGCTAGTTAGTTACCCGTTCTCTGTTTCAGAACTACTGTTATTATCTGGTAATATAGAACTTTGATTTCAGATTTAAGTTTTTAATTTGACTGTAAATTATCACGACTGGGGATGATTGAACAATACTGATGGACAACATATTCGGCTGAATGTCAATTTATTTGCACACATGATATTTATATTTGTATTAATAGTGATGGTAATAATATTACAGGGCACTGTTTTTTTTTAATGGGAAGTGACTTTGTCCTTATGTTCCTTACTTGCAAGAGTTTTGCAAGTAAGGATTTCAGTGATTTTTGATTTCAGAAATAAAGAGTCTTGGAACACTGTGTAAGCTGTAAGAATTTATGTCCGATGTGCCTGTGTTGCATCTTTTTTCTTGGACGTCTGCAGCTTCACGTCTGTGACAATCTTCTCTCTTTCTCGTTGGCTTTGGCTTCTCCTCATCCTGCTGGGAATACGCAGCCTTGAGTCTGAAATGTGTTTACATTTTGAGTATGTTACAAATTATCTGCTAAGACTAACTTTGCGTGACTTGGCAGAAGCCTTCACCTTGCTCAGATGTTGTTTGGGTCAAACGTTTTTTTACAGGGTTGCACTCTCATTTTGACTGTCTTTATCTGACAAGGGTTTTCCAAGCCAGATGTGAACCCAGGAAAAAGTTAAAACTCACTATGCTGATGTCTGTCTGTGGGCCTGCACACATGTGCTCATATGAGTGTATGCATGAACGTGTGGTGTAGGCACCTTGCCAACATGTCCGCAATATTTTTCTCAACTGGGAAGAATTCACCTTTTCATAATACAGCAGAAAACCAGAGGCAATTACCTAAACAATCTGACAACATTAATGTATTTTTAAAAAAATCTGCTATTGTATATTAATAGTTCTGTTATATCTTAACCTCCCTTATCAGGTTAACTGATGTTATATTGTGTATCAAGGATTGTCCAAGGACATTCAAAATGTTCCCTTGCAGTGTGTTTGTCTTTAATCTACTTAAAGATATCAACATATTTTATTATGCTACTTAATATCCCCAGGGTACTATAGAAATATTAGAGTCTGAAACTGAGTGCTTCTTGTGCAATGTGTCCTTTCAGGATTGTGCTGTTTTCAGTAAGAACAGACTAGAACAATCCCCAAAGACATTTAAGCTCAAACTCACAGCAAAATGCATTTTCTACAGTTTTATCAGTAATTAAAACAAGGCCTGAGTAACACATATTTAAGAGTTGTGCCTGAAAGCATATATATGTGCTTTCTGACTCTGTCATGGTGTTGGGGGTCTTGTCACAACTAATGAAACTACAAATGCAGAAAAATGCTGTCAAATTTTGACCCACCATGTAAAACCACCTGGACAGTGCTTGATTGTCATTATTTTTCATCATGACAGTGATCAATAACACATTGCCCTTGCAGTAAAAGCACCTGGATAGAAAAAGACACAATGGAGCACTATCAGTCATGAATTGACCTCCCCAGAGCCCGAACCTCAACATTATTGAAGCAATGTGGGATCATCTTGACAGAGAACAGAACAAAAGGCAGCCAACATCAAAGAAGAGCTTCCTATTCCTAACTAACTATTACTGAAGACTACTTAAAGAAAGGACAGAAAAGTAGGCCCAAGAGAGTTCAGGGTGTGTTTGAAGAATACAGGTGGTCATACCAAATATTGACATTCATGCTCCGTAGAATTGTACAAACCTTTTTCATCTTATATACTGTATTTATATATATGTTTGCATGCGCTTCGAAAAATACCTGAACCTGTTTCCAATTTTCCTAGCAGGATATAAAGAAATGAGGGTGGGTCGGGACTTTTGCACAGGAGTATAAATAGATAGATATGACATGTAATGAAGGTGTGCTGACAAAAGACAGAATATTAGGCAAGATAACTTTCTGTAAAGTATCTCTGTTTCTATTCTGAATATGTAAGTAGGTCATTGCTTTTTTTCTCTCTCCAAAGTTTACTTCCTGAATTTATTTGACCATTTATACCCCCTGGTGGACAAAAACAAAACAAAACAAACAAAACCTGAATACAGTGTGCAATACTTTATTTCCACTGTTGCACAGTAAAAGATCCAAGTGGGTTACATTGAAAGAAAACGGGACACCTTAACATACAACATATATTTTACGTAAATAAAACAAATAACTTACACCCATAAATAACAAGGTACTGTAGTGATATAGTTAGTACTGAGATATTGCAGTGATATCATGAAGAGAGAGCTGGCCTAGAAGTTAAAAGTTACAACTATTTGACGAGTGTGGTGAAAATAAATACATCTCCTGGTGTATTTCTGTCTTTTTCATGCTTAGTAAAATGGGAATGATCCGTAACCTAAAGATAACATCTGTAAAAATAAATATCATAATCTTTTAGTGTACAGGATTGTTCACTCTGATAGAAAAAGATTACATAACACATGCATTTATTATGGTGTTCACTTTGTGTTTTCATCTGGGTATCTTTTAGCAGCATCAGCAGCAGAATATTTGAGCATTTCAAAGTCACACCCTAAGGCAGAGGGAGTTGGCGAGCATCTACAGTGCATATGGTTGGAACCTGCCAGTCAGTAGCAGCCTTTTTGTGTGGACTTTGCATGTGTTGGATTGGTTTTCGTCTGACATTCCCAAGAAAAAAACAAAAAAACGAACCAAACAGGAACAAGTGTAAGGTTAATAGGTGACTCTAAATTGGCTTTAGGTGTGAGTATGAATATGTATGCCTCCAGCTCGCTTCACAGGATGGTTGATAAATGGATGCCCTGTGTGGTCTGAGCACCATGAGGGGAAAAGAAAGAAAGAAAGAAAGAAAGAAAAACAAGTCCTGCTTGCTTCAGCACATCATGGTCAAGCTTATTGTGGACTATTCTGGTGATCATACGATTGTCCTCACCTGGCTGAATGTAGCTCATCGCTGAACAAGATACAACACAGGACTGTACTGCATCGTATAATTTATATTTGTATTGTATTGTATAGTTTTACTGTATTATATAGAAACACTTTTATAAAGAAGTATTGTTATTCAATTCAAAACACCAATAATATAGAATAGCTTTCATGATATTTCCAGAATTCCTGTTTCAACTTAGTAAAACTGTAAAAAAAACTGTTTTGGTGCTCAAATTGAACTTTCTGTTTTCTGTTTTAAAAATGAGAACATTTTGTAAAACAGGTCCTGGCTCATCTGCAACTGGAGTGAAAGTGGAGTGTATTCAAGTGTCTGTTAGCACGTATAGCATGACTGAATCCACAGATATTTTGCAGATAAGTTCTTTGATTTTTCAGTCTACTCTCCTCTCCTCTGCCTTGCATTTCATAGGGATGAAATGAGATGCAGTGTGCTCCCTCCTGGTCTTCTTCCCTCTCATGGGCTTTCCCTTTTGTGACAGGGCTATGAACATTTCTTTTTTTGTCCACTTGGCCGAGGAGTAAGCATTGAAGTAGTTTTCTAGGAAAACCTCCTTAAAGTTGCAGTTGTCGTTGTAGATCCTCTGTAATGGAAACACATCAAGCCATTAATATGATTAAGTAAACGCTCTGAACTGTTTGTTTTATTTCTGCATGATTTAAATTAGCTGACAACAGCATATGACTTTCCTCCCTGTGGAAAAATATTACCTTTCCTTGCAGCTGTCCAGCTTTGTTCATAGAAATATAATACTGGCTTTTTACGCCTTTTATAGCCAGTATGCCTCCCTCGGACACTGTCCTGATTTCTAGGATACCTGCCGGACAGTCAGAAAAAGGAGGCATGTTACAGGAGAGATAAGGCGCTGTCATCATCCAGCTTTTACTCTGGCTCCAGCTCCACATACATCTTCATTAGCAAACGAGGTGGAGGTTCCTGTGATTAATCAGTCTGTGGTCTCTCTGACTTTATCCAAGCTTTGTTAAGTGGCCTGGGTGGCTTTTACACAAACCACAACCTATGCCATAGCACATATGGGAAACAGATTAGGGCTCTCTTCCCCAGGGACTGAGAAAACTACCTTCTTGCGTGTGCTTTAGACCTGGCATTTAAAGCCTGCTTTTCAAATCTGTGGGAGGGTAAACACATTTATTCTTCCCAATGTGCCATGTTGAAAGGATGGAATTTTTAAAGTATTTAAACACAGAAAATCAAATGATGTAAACAGCAAATTTCTTTGCCCAGAGTTCCAAAACAGGAGATCTTTCGTGAATATTTGAAATGATTACATTATTGGGTAAAGTGAAGTAGATGTTTAGTTATCTTGTAGGACTTTAGCCGAAAATGTAACTTAAAAAAAAATAAAAATCATGTCATGTCAACAGGCTGCACCAATTATCAGTTCATAAATCAAATATCCATAACATTGACCTTTGGTAAAAACATTGCCATCATATATATGAAAAATCCTTTGCATGCTGTAAACATATGATGTTTCTGTTTAAAAATAGCGAATGGTGAGATGTGGCAGTGGCAGCAAAATTAAAATAAATAGAGAAATGTGCTTTTTACAGACTGGCAATCTGGTTCAGAGCTCGTGTTTTTAGGCAATTCAAAACCTTGTTGATTTTTTACATACTCTAGAAATTCTTTCATTTGATAGGCAGAGGGGAAAGTAGGGGGAAGAGGTCTATTAAAGCTCTTTAGGCTGACACTGAGCATGCCACATTTGAGTGTTTGCTAGATCACAAACAGATGGGATCTCCCAATCTTGGAATGTTGTTTGTGCTTTTCTTGCTCTTGATATCTGACTTAATACTACTGACCTTTAACTGTTTACTCATATTTATTTAACCCCGCTTTTAGGTCCCCCCCCAGCTTCTACTTATTTCAGAGGCAATCTCGAAAGTTCAGTTTAACACTATAAAAGCTACACCCTCGTTTGTAAACCTGTTTACAGACTCAGAGTCAGCCAAACGTTTGTTTAATCCACATATATTGGTGGGATTTATCGATGCAACTGCATGCTTGTCGTCTGAGAGCATCATCCCCGTAATGTAACGTGCAACAGCTCCAGTCGTTTGGTGTACTGTGGAAAGATGGATCACATTTTTACACGCATATTGTAAACATTTTGGCTCTGATGCAAAAGCCTCACAAGCTGTCCTCAGTTGAAACAGATTTGCCATCACTCGCTGCCACTGGCTAAGTAAACTACTTTGTGGATAATCCCTAAGTCTACTTTCTGAGCACTGTTGGACCTCAGTGTTTACATTCATTGCGAAATGTGCTCCAGACATAACTTTCACGGAATATTGTTAACTGTGGAGTTAGCTTCAGACTAAACACCTTGTAGTTTCACAGAGGTGCAAGTTTAGCAAATTGATTCCATTTAGCTTTCATTTTTGCTGCAAAATACTGCAGGATTTAATCAGGTAATATGTATTTTACTTCGACATTCATCAAATTCGATTTAGAAATGCTTTATTTATCCCCAAAATTGAGCCTTTTCTTCTCGTGAGTTTACTGACCTAAGGTATTTGTCATGTTTTGGCTGCGGTAACACAGTGATTTTCCATCTTTTGGGAAGAAAGCATTTCTAATTCTAATTCTAAATTGCAATGAATTTAGTTGGGTGGCCGTAGAGTATGGTGCAGCCAGTCTACTATGCTACGATTGCTCTGACTCAGCAGAGAACTGTGCCAAAACATATGTCTTTACTTTTATTAGGTTATTTTCCTAGAAGTCCCTGTTTTCCACCTGCTGTTTAGAAATTATTTATTTCCAGCTTGTTGTTTGTCTGACTTTCTGTGAGGGTTAACATACCTTTTATCAGTATGGCCTCATTTTGCTTGAACCACAAAAAAAAATATGATTTTTATCTTTTACTGAAAACAAAAAACAAAACACTACAATGTAATATAATAAATCATAAAAACAAAGATTACTAAAAGTGACCTGATATTTGTGTTAGAGGTACAAAGCAAACGTTTCTCATTTTGGTCTCCTATTTTTCTTTTCTGTCTTTGTAATAAAAGACTTTTTGCAATCAGCTTTTAAGGATTTCTTGTTCGCTGCAATCAAAAACATAAATCGCGGATTTATTCCATGTACATCTGCACCATGCTGCTTTCATCAAAGAACTTTGTGTGCTTTTAGCGTGCGACTGTCAGCCGCATATGGGCGTATCAGTTTTTCAGTCTTTCATTGCCAGTTGTTGCACAAGCATCTTTTCCATGAGGCATCTCTCTTTCAAGCCAACATTCCAGCCACGGAGGCACTGTCAGATAGGAGGAAATGATAACTACTTAAAACATCCTCACCATGACACAGAGACTCCTCGTACTATCTCACAACCTTTGAGAAAATGTTGGCCCCTGAGCAACAATTCAAACAAGTAGGTGCGTCAAAAAGCACTTATCACGGTTAGCAAATAAAATGTGTCATTAAGTAGTTAGATGGTAATCATTATTTTAAAATATTTGGCTTCTAATTTTAGAAAAGAATAAGTTTGGGCTGGACACAGTGTGGTTGCTGTCTCTGTGTTTGATCTCAGCAGCCAACCACAGATCCATTACAAAATTTGATTTTTCCATTGCTAATATTCTCTCCCACTCTTTTCCCTGATAACTCATTCTGGCGCTCTGAGTACTGAGAGTAAATCAGGCAGAACAAATGTGAATCTGTGTGAGTCTCAGGTCATAAGTCTCCAAGACCCTTCAGTTTACTTCATTACAGCCTGTGCTGTAATTTAACCCATCAAATCTCCCACCTGCTCCATTTTACCTGTCACTTTGGCTGCTCTAACAGAGACACATGACTTATTAACAGAGTAATAGCAGTCAGATTCACATACATTTTGGCAAATGCCTATAGATATATAGTGGGACCTATAATAAACGTTTGGTCTACACAAAAAGAGCGATGCTTACTGTAGCAGTTGGTAGAGTCTTGAGTACCATTGATATTGCCGGAGTCATCAATAGTTAGGAACCACTGCGTGCCACTGAACAGTTGTCGTATGCGCACATCTCCTCCCTCCATATAGTCATAATTCCTGGTGTGGCGCTCATGTTTGGAGCAGTTCATGATGGCGGCAAGTTGTTCTGGGGTGCAGTCACTGTAGACTACACACACACTGCCAAACAGAAAGATTGCATGCAGGTACAGTCCCGGGAACAGATTTTGAAGGTTCCATGTCAGCATCCATTTGCGCATTATAATACAATGCAGTGGGGATCAGTGAACAACATACTGAAATACAAGATAGAGATCTGTGCGTCGTTCCTCAGCTCAGGGATCTTCTGACCCCTCACTTGTGACCTGCTGGTTTTCGTTACTGCAGCACTGCTTCCTGGCGGGGAGGTGAGACAGAGTGGCTGTAGAGGAAGCAGGTTGGCAGAAGTTGGCTGATTGTATCACGAGATTATGCCCCTCTTTTAAACTTCAGTGACGGCGCACATCTACTGCTCCATCTTCTTGTCCCTCAAGGGGCATTGTAGTCCAGTTCAGGAAATATTATGCAGAATATCACTGTAATAAAGAAACAGTGCATTTTAATACTTACATACAAGATTACATTTTCAATCAACTTTCAAAATAGCTTCTGGTTTTCTGTGTTTACACAAGTATGTTTTGTACATTCCCAAGCAGTAAATCAAAATTTGGGTGATGCAGATATACATCTCCCTCTCATGGATCCAGAGCATGAAATATTGCATCACTGGTGCTGTCTATAATTCCTGTACATACATACATAATTTGAAACAAGCAAAATATATAGCTTTAATTGTAACAAACAAATCTGTATTGTAATGACTTACATGTGCTCTGAGTGGTGACAGGAGTTGGCAGAGGTGCGCTCCCTTTCAGCAAGAGTTTTAATTTGAAGGCTCTTTAGATCTAAAGCTGCAGTCTCAGTGGTAAACCAGACCCAGTGATGCAGAAAAGTTAAGCACGAACTGGGAGCTTCTGTGAATTCCCATGGATGTTTCTCGGATTCTGGCAGACTGACTCTGTGCATCGTCCACTGTCGTTGTGCACTCTGCTTAGATAAATGCCTCCTGCTGACCTCACTTGAGAGCAATTAAATCCCAACCAGTCAGCTGTCCCTGGCTGATATGCAATGAAGAAACACCCTCTGCCTGCCTCTCACTGTCACTCAACCACCAGACATGAGAGGGAGCTATAAACTCTTGGAAGACTGAAATCACAAGTACTTTAAGAACATTTGCATGCTCACTCACTCTTGCAGACTCACTCTTGTTACAACCCTTCTGTCTTGTCCAAGAAACATCTTGTGCTTAAATAGACTTGCACTGTGCGTGCCACAGATCTCAGACTGACTCACATTTATTTTATTGACGGTTACAATATTCGCTGTAATGACAAACCTCAAAAGAATTTCTTTCCTATTCAATTTAAATGTCATAATTAATTTGCGGTTTTACTCGGCTGCATTGGATCACTGGTAAGGGGTTTACTGATTGAAGTTAAAAAAATAAAAACTTCAAAGAAGTCCTTTAGTTTTCTTTCTTTTTGAGTCTTAAAGTGGCTAAGGTTATGACTGGCAGGTATCCGTCCAAGCAAGAAAAACAGAAGACGTAACAACTCAGAAGCAGTCGTCTCAGTGTCAAGGGTCATACACTCTTTCACTTTTTAAGTTTGTATTTAAAGCCATAAACTATTGCCTTGCATGCCTGGTGTTTTCCAGGACACACAACTTCAAAAGTTTATATGGGCCCTAATGATGCGCTCCCCTGGGGAGCTCAGGCCTGCAGCTTGAGAGAGTGGGACCTCTGGTCGCAGCAGGTTTCCTTCTTATCTCTAAACTGGCAGTTGTGAAGACCTCATTCTTTCCTGTTCATCTGTCCCCTCTATCACCTCAGAGACAATTTGAGTTGTGTTTTTTTTTTCAGTACACGAGCCAAGAAAATATGACTTAATCTGTTACAAACACCAGAAAAACAGACATTAAAATAAATGCTAAATGCCCAATCTATATAAATCAACATGAACAGACATATAATTCCACAACATTCTATATATTTTTTCAGGTCATCTGAAGACTGTGAAGTTTACAGGATCCGTGTCTATAAAATCCCAAGGTTCTCATGGTGGGTGGATCTGTGTTGTCTGGGCAGGTAGCACCTGGTACGTCCCCCTGAGGCAGAGTGTGTCCGTGAGAGGAACCAGACAAGGTGTTCCCAAGACTCCTATGAAAAAAATCCCTTCAAAAGAGAGAAATGACCTTACCTGGAATTTTTAACACGAAGTTTAGAAATGTAGTTGGTGAGCCACAAAATACCAAAAAGATCAATTGTACAGTTAATTCTGCCCCAAGTGAAGATATTGCCATGCTCTTTCTTTAGGCCCTGTTCATATCAGGCTGACTGAGCTCTCGACTTACTGGTGTACAGTCTCACCCTACTTACCTACACGTATTCATCAGCTTCAGCTGAAATGCAAGCAGATCACAATGATGCATATATTAATATCATGGACCTGACTTACCCAAAGGAGCTCAGATTTTAGTTGTTTTGCTTTCATTTCCAAAAGGAGCCAGTTGAAGCGAGTGAGCCATCGGATTAGTATGTCTCCCTGCGGAGGCATTATTGGTGTGTCCAATTTAGCACAGACCCTGTTTCATATCCAGAACATCCTTCAAGGATAACTTATCCAGTCAGACTTGGAAAGACATGATAATCTCTTAAGAAGAGCTTCGCATGGCTCAAGAAACGGAGATTTAACATCTAATATGGAATTGCATGCACTGGAAAATGGAAGGAATAATAGAACCCTCTGCTACCAAGTATTCATACATTTTGCTATTTCAGTAGGTAACCTTTTGGACAATGATTTATTCCACTATCCTTCAACCACAGTTTTACCATTTCATAATTTTTGTATTAAGGTAGGAAGAACAGGAAGATGTTGTAAGAATAGACACTATTTCTAGATTATCATTTGCTTAATCAGTGAAGCCTTTTCTCACTTTTGGCGGTATGAGTGGTGTCACAGAGGTGATGCCTCTGGGACTACAAATGTAAAAGTTTGTGTAAATCTTCCAATGCTCCTGGAATGCCTCATTTACAGTTCATAGCACCATTTAAATGTACTCCACTGTAGAGTTTTTCAAAAGTCCAAATTCACAGGTCAACTGCAGCGTCGCTGACCTTATGTGATGTGTTAAGGGGGAGATGGGGAAGTTAATGTCTTGGCACACAGTAACATGTTGTTTTTTTATGCACTTTATTTTTCAGCACTTATGTGGGGGGTTTCCATTTAATCTTTGTCATAAATATATATTAGTTTTTAGAAACTGTTTTTCTGAATTATCACTGCCCAAGTGCTGTAATTATTTCAGTGACTTCAATGACTTAAGTGCTCTGTTCTCCCTGTTGTTGCCTAAAGACTCACTATTATTTAAAGCATATTTGGAGACATCGTTCTCTTTTTAAAAGTGGTAGTAGTTTATTCAAAGTTTATTTAGTAGCATGAGTAAGCTATTAATTTGTGTAACAATCAAATAAAAGTTGGAGCTCTAACCATATAAGTAGTGGGAGTATAACTACTGTTATGGATGTTAATGTAAAAATGCTTTAATAGGTTATTATGGGTTGTTATGGTGATACTGCAAGCTATGTTTTAGTTGACATGATATATTCTACTGTAATCATAAAGGACATGTACTTAAATCTTGTGTCAATGTGTGCAGACATCTGTGCACTTGGATACAGTGTGTGTTTGCAGGTAGTTTGGCTTTATAGACTGAATTGCTGCCTCAAGGATCAAAGGCACTGTTTGAGGTTTACAGTAGCATATGAAGTACAGTATCTGTAAAGCAGACAAACAAGCAGCCTTCATTCCCGTATGTCTGCCTCAATACTTTATTTCACTCTTTTTCTGAGTTACACGCTGTTGTGACGAATAGAGGTCTGTGTTTAGGAATCTTACTAGTCCTTTTAATTGATTCCCATTGCTATGTTAAATGCTATTGAAACCAGCAGGGACTCTGGAAGGATTTAGATGATTGCAGCATAACACGCAATCATGCAAGCTCACCATGACCCCAAATCCCATTCCAAATCCAGACCAACCAGCAGCTCCAGTTTCAAGACCCCAATGTGTGTCATGCTAGACACTCCAGCATGAACTCACAGTGACACTATTGTCAGTTGGTCTCATTGCTTTTAGAGAAATGAGACCAACTTTATACTTTCACCTACACCTTTGCACCATTTATCTCGCAGATGCAAAGATAATTAAAGAAAATACTCTTGCTTTGGCAGATTTGTCTTGTTTAGCTTTAAAAAAATATCCGTCCTAAGGTACAGTGCATTATTTATTTATGCATTATTTTGAGCCAACTCTAGGAAGTATTGATCAAAATTTTACCAGATAAAACGACTTAGTGGCTCCAATGAGTTTTTTTCCACTCCCTCGGACAGGAATATTACTCTCTAATTTATCCCTGTTTGGTTCTTAAGAACCTCTTGGAGTGTTAGCACATGAAGTTAGGTTCATAATTTATGATAGTTTCCACTATTATTGCAGAGACATCTGCCTTCACACACGATCTGCTCTCAACACTCTAAAAGCATTCCTCAAGACAGAAGAGCCTATCTCTGTCGCTCTCTCTGTGCTCTTTCCCTTGTCTTCCAATGATATAACTACATTTATGTTGGAAGATTGGATGATCTCTAAGGTCACTCTATTCTTAGCGCTGTTTTGGACTGTTTGGTTTAGCTTTTGCTTTCTAAATTCCATGGTAATTGGGGGATCTCTTGGGATGGAGCCTCACAACATTAGCTCTGACTATAAATAACTGTAACTTAGAAACACACAGTGTACACTTGTACACGGACACAATTTTACCCAAATAAGAGATGTTTTACAGTAGATATATTGGTAATAGTATATTTATTTCAAGCAAATCAAATGTGTGCAATTTTGCTAACAATTTAAGGTGTGAGAAAAGTAAGCTCAGCATGCATATACAGTGTCACACATTGCACTGTTGCTATTGTGCACATTTGATTATGTTATTAATCTGAATGAGTATCGATTTAATAACAGTACATAATGGCTGTATGCTGAGGTGGTAAAGATGTGGTAAAACACAAAAAGTGCATATTTGTTTTTCATATAAAAATACTTTGGTTTGGAGGCAGTTACAATGCATTAGTGGTGGTGTAATCAGCTTTGTTGCAGAATGTGAACTGGCGTTGTGCTTCGCTGTCGGGGGAATACTTTGATCCCAGCTAATGCAGGAACAGCTGTTAGGGATCACAGTCTTAACTACTCACCATATCTGCTCATGTATCAGAAAAAGCAGAGCTTTGCTTATAAAAATATGCCCTATCTTAGTAGCTTTGTAGGAGAAAGAGGTTTAAAACGAGCAGGTTTTAGTTCCTGAGTCAAAACAGTGGACAGTTTACATAACCTCTAATTAAGTTCACATTTATAATTTGAAGCATGAATGCATGAAGAAAAGATACCAGATGTTTTTAGTGTTATAAATATGTCAGTTTTGGACCTTGTAATTTTTTTCAGTAGCTGTTTACTAATTTCCATGTATTTTACGAGAACATGAGCCCTGTTATCTCTCATGCAATGTCATACTCTCATCTCCTGCTTTGCTACTTGTGGCAAAGAGCACTCTCAAGCCACATTTTCCAATATTTAAGCTGAGATTTGCAAAAAACAATAGTAGATGATTCATATAATTTCATTACTGTTCAGTGACCTCTTGTTCCCTAAAGATGGTGACATCGCCATTTTCCTTTAATGTACAGGGTGGGCCATTTATATGGATACACCATAATAACATGGGAATGGTTGGTGATATTAAAGTCCTGTTTGTGGCACATTAGTATATGTGAGGGGGCAAACTCCTCAAGATGGGTGATGACCATGGTGGCCATTTAGAAGTCGGCCATCTTGGATACAACTTTTGTTTTTTATATAGGAAGAGGGCCATGTGACACATCAAACTTATTGGTAACGTCACAAGAAAAACAATGGTGTGCTTGGTTTCAACGTAACTTTATTCTTTCATGAGTTATTTACAAGTTTCTCTTGGTTCATAGCCATTGACA